ATAGAAACTTTCTGGAGAGAAATTTAACAATATGAAACCATAGCTCACCCTTTGTACTTAAATAGGCTTATGAAAGGAACAGACAGAAAAACCCAGAAATAGACTCAAATACACATAAGAACTTAGTGTATTATGAAGATGACATTTCAAATTAATGGAGTAAAGATGTATTGTCAATGAATCTGGTTGGGACAACTGAGTAGCCATCTGATAAAATATTAAGTTCCAGCCATACCTCACTGCTTATGCCAAAATAAATTCCAGGTGGATCAAGTCTAAAATGTGAAAAAGGAATCCATAAAAGTACTATGAGAAAGCAGGAGAGCAATTGTTTATCATCTCGGAGTGAGGAAGGCCTTTCTACTGTTGTCTCAAAATTTGTTCCCATGAGGATATGATTTATTAGGTAATAGAAGATGAGAAAAATATTATTGTGTGAAATGCAGCCCACATTTGTCACAACTGTGACTAACATTTCTGTAGGCAGACTCATCTGCCAGCTCTGAATTTGCAAATAAAGAAGTTTCAATGGGCTCCTTTGATTCCATCACGTGTTTTGAAATGTGTTCCACATAGAAACACGGCCATAATATGGGAAGATTATGATCCAACGGTACAAACTCTGGATTAGACACTGGATGCAAAGAAACTTTTACTTTGCCCCTCTCCTAGATTTTCTGGCTCTGAATATGTTGGGGGATTGCATTAATCTGGAAAAAAAAAAGTTTATTTTTCTTAATACTCTCCATAGTTTCTTATTTGAAACCAATGGGTTTTTAATTTTTTTGAAAGGCTAATATTGTGAATATATTCAGTAACATGAAACACCACCAGTAGACTGTGGGCAGCATTCTATAATCAAACACATTTTTATTTCTGCAGAAAACAAATGAGTATTCATACTAAGTGAGACAGACAGAACCTCAGGTTAGTCCAGGTTAAGTTTTACCACCAAATGAGTCTTGGCATTGAATCTATGAAGACTCTTTTTGTTTTCAGTGTTGTGGATAAGACATCAAGGGCCTATATATAAAGAGTGTTTACAAATCAATAAAGAAAAGCCAACAGTCCCTTAGAAAATAGACAATGAAATAAACAGACAGTTCATAAAAAAGGAAATACAAATGGCTCTTAGGCGAATGAAAAGGTTATCAACCTCGTTCCTAAAAAGAGAAATGCAAAATAAAGCTGCAAGATATCCTTTTTTGTGTATCAGATATGAATGTCTGAAAGTTTCGTAAGACATTGGTGTTGAGAGTGTAAGGAAATACACACTCATATGTTGCTGGTAGGCACATGTTTTGGTACAGCTTCTAAAGAAAGCTATTTAACAAGATCAATAAAATTTAAATTAGGGGCTGGCCCCGTGGCCGAGTGATTAAGTTTGAGTGCTCCGCTGCAGGCGGCCCAGTCTTTTGTTGGTTCAAATCCTGGGTGTGGACATGGCACTGCTCATCAAACCACGCTGAGGCAGCGTCCCACATGCCACAACTAGAAGGACCCATAACGAAGAATATACAACTATGTACTGGGGGGCTTTGAGGAGAAAAAGGAAAAAGATAAAATCTTTAAAAAAAAAAATAAATAAAAATAAATAAAATTTCAATTAAATATGCAATTTTACATCTAGAAACTAATTCTATATGTGGCCAATAAGACACTGATTAAATACCTATGATAGAATATATACATAATATGCAGTAGAATATTATAAGTAGTTAAATAGAATCTGACAAATCTTTATATGCCGATATAAAATAATGCCCAAGGTATACTATTAAGGGAAAAAAAAACCCCAAGAAGCAGTAAATTTGGTTTATTAAGGTACAACTTGTGGGATGGGAAAGGAAAATTTGACAAAATGTCATTTTTATGGGTGACAGTGGTTGCTCCTGGGTAAGGAAATTTGCTGGTTAGGATAGAGAAAGATGACAGAGACTTTCAGCACATACTTTATGGACTTCCTTTGCATTACGTCTCCCAGGTGCTATCGTTACACAAATAGTAAACAGTGATTTATTCAAATCATGATTTAGATGAACAATCTAAACATCCAACAATAATGAATTGATTAAATAAATGATGTAACTCTATGATGAGCTATCACACACCTATCAGAAATCAAGTTGTAGAAGAATGTTTATCAACATGGAAAATAAAAAAAGCAAAAATGATACATAACCATACAAAAGAATGTACCCAGGAAAAGGCCAGAAGTAACTATATTAAAAAATCTTTTCGCAATTATTTACTGAATTCTTATTGTAAGTGAGAAATAGTTCAGGACGCTGGGTATACAGGGCTGAACAAAATTGTTGTGGTTCTGGTATTTATGTAGTATACTGTCATGGGAAACACAAACTAAAGAAAGGTATAAATAAAATTATACAAGAAAAAATAAGAATTACTCTAGACTGGGTGGTTAGGGAAGGCTTCATTGAAGAAGTGACATTAAGCCGAGATCTGAAAGATAAGCAGCCAGTCATGTAGAAAGAGAGAGAGGACCATTCAACCAGATGGAACAGAATGTGCAAAGCTGGGGGAAAGTGTGATGTGTTCATGGATATGAGAGAAGTCCAGTGAGTCAGAGCAAGGGAGAGAGGGAGAGAACAGCACAAGAGAAGATAGGAAAGAAGGGCACCACAGTTCATACAGAGTCTTAGAGCTACAATAAAGAATTACGATTTTATTATAAACGCAATGTTTTGAGAGTTCAGTTGTCATTACAACTGCCTCTTCTTTGAAGGTAACTTATACTTTTTCCTCTGACTGCTTTTAAGACCTCACCATCTTTGGTGTCCTAAAATTTACTACAATATGTCTCAGAATGAATTTCTTTTTGTTTATATTGTTTAAATTTGTAAGAACTCTTGAACCTGTCTTTAAACAGTTCTGGAAAATTCTCAGCCATTCTCTCTTCAAACATCTGTGCCTCATTTTGTCTCTCCTCTCCATCTAGAACTTGAGTTAAGCAAATATCAGATCTCATTCTATTCTCTTAATTGCTTTCATTTCTTGTTCTCTATGTATTGCTTTCTTGGTAAGGTCTGTTGGAATTATGTTCTGGTTCACTAATTCTTTTTTATTAGCATGTTTCCTCTTCAACCTGTCAAGTACCTATTATTGTATTTTTTTCATTCCTAGAAGTTCTATTTGTTTCTGTTTCAAATATTCTAGGTTGCTCTTTACAGTTTCTTGTTCCATAAAAATATTTTTATTTTTCTCTAATAAATAAATATGATGTATTATAAAATGTTTCTGTTAATTCAATTGAAGGGTTTTGAGGGTCTGTTTTTGCTATCTGTTGTTTATGCTGATTCTCCCCCATGATGTTTTTTCCTTTGTATCTTTGTATATTTTCTAGTGTGCTATTCACTGACCTCAGGAAATCATTTCTGGAACTTTTTTGAAGCCTAGAATAATTTTCTACAAAGGGAATTTATGGTTTTGTTTAGCTTGGTTTTGTTTTTGCCTATGCATACTTCCTAGGGCTTGGCCACAACAAACCAAATCCACAACTTTTTATGTGCCTTTCAGTTGATGTGAATTTAGCCCACAAATTTACTAGAGGACCATTTTGTTCCAACAACAGCTAGGAGAGAGATTATTTTCTTCTCCTCCTGATCTGTTCAAGGTTAAGGAAATCTTCATGAAATCCCAAGGATGGGTTGCTAATCTAAGATACAGCCTTTTGGTGTCCCAGCTTTATGATGGGAGGTAGCCTATTACATGTCCCCCTTTAGATAGGATCAAAGATTTGATTTTTGTCTCCATTGACCCATGAGGTCATAATTACTTTACCCAGTTCAGAAAAAGCCATCAGGGCAAAAATGTCCTGGACTCTCTTAGTTCCTAATTTCCCATTGATTTTGACATAGTAATTTCTTACCGTAACATCAGTCTTTTGATGCTTTTAAGAATCTTCTAAAAAATTATTCATCAGTTTCAGTTGTTTTCCCAATATGAGGGTCATCCAAACAACCTAGCCTGGCTTATTCTCAGAAACAGAAGTCTATTCTAAATGCAGTTGAAAACTGCTAAAGCTATGATGCAGAAGAATGGCTTGATCCAATTTGCATTACAAAAAATAAATCACCGTATGATATGGAGGATGGAGTGGATGAGGCAAGACTGAAATCAGTGGGCTTGATGAAACCCTATTGAGTAATCTACATGAGAAGGTGGTTTGAGCTAGGGCGTGGCAGTGAAGAGGGAGAGAAATAGGTGGAGGTATATTTTGTAGGTTAGAATAGAAAGGACCTGGGGATGATTGGATGGTGGGGGAGAAGGAGACGGAGTCATCCAAGATGACTCCCAGTCTTTGCCTTAAACAATTATGTGAATGGTAGTGCCATTGAGAGGATGCTGTGGTAGGAAGAACAGACAGTGCAGGTTTGCTCCAGGAGTTGCGTGGCGTGTGTGTGTGTGTGTGTGTGTGTGTGTGTGTGGTCTGTGTGTAGAATTAAGAATTCAGTTGTAAGCTTGTAATGCTGGAGATTTACATGAGACGTCCAAGTATCATCATTAATAGTGATTACTTCTGGTGAGATTAGGAGGAATTTTTCTTTTTTCCCCACATTTTTCACTAATAAGTATTGTATTTGTTTTTAAGGGAAAAATGTTATTTTAAAATAAAGGTAGCCCTGTATATCACAAAAACTATAATTCCTTTTGAAACCTTGAAACTAGTTACCTCCACATTAACATTCCCCTCTGTTTTCATTTCCCTGTATTGTGTGTGTGTGTCCACCATACTCTAAACTATTTTAGCGTCAGAGACCATGTTTGATTTATTTCTCATCACCTCTCCCTAGTATCTATCACATTGCTGTGTATATAGTAGGTGCTTAATAAATGCTGAGTAAATGAAAACATTTACATGTCAAAGTGACTCAGTAATTATTTTTTCATCGAATCTTGGATTAGACCAGCCATAACGATGTTGCCATCACAAACAGTCACCTTTTTCATTCAGACCACTTACACCAGACAGAACTTACCTTTTTTGAGTTAAACCCAGAGAAGGCAAGATGGAGGCTGGACTTCTGAGACTCATTTCCATCTCTTCCATTTGAGCCCTAGATGGGCTCCCTTTCCCCAAAGGCAGCAGCAAGATAAGCACTGTGGGGACACCTAACAGGCCAGGGCAGGCTTGAGTGGCACCAACCTTAATGCATTTGTTTGCTTACAGGCTTTGTGACAGCACAGATGGTATGAGAAACCACTCACTGCTAAGGATCCCCCGACATACCCGGGGCCTGCCTCCCACCGTCATGAGCTTCCTCTCACCCACAAGAGCAGACGGTGTAATGATGACATTACACTCGGCGAGTCCTGAAAGAGAATAGGGCTTGGTTTCCTCTTGTTTTAGTGTCTCAACTACTGCGTAACTCTAAACCTTCTTAGGAATTCACAGAGTGTAAGGCCTGAGGCAGAGCTATCTCTCAGGAGCCAATAGACTGCTCACTCATTAGTTATGGACGGGCTGGTGCCCTTCTCAGGGCCGGACCATGGAAAGGCCATATAGCGTGGACAGGTATTTAAAAGTCAAATTCTCTCAGACTCTCTATGGGACAGTAAGCAAGATGTCCCATGCAAACCAGAAAACGACAAAGAGGCCCTGCTTTCCGTAATTCTCTCCACCCCTTCTCCCGCTTCTACTGCGTTCCTCTCCAGCTCTAATCCCCCCAATATAAAGATCGGGAGATTTTTTCAGGGTCCCCGCAGAGAGATGCCTCATGCCCATCCTGCTCCAGCGCTCTTCCTTTGGCAGCTTCCCAGAGGGCCAGTGCCAAGGCTGCAGGCTATCTGGGGAGAACACCCAGCTGGCCAACCCGAGGAACACCACTACAGAGATGCAGAGCCAGGCCCTGCCAGGCAAGAGCAGCTGCTGCGATGGGACTTTGGGGAGTAGAGGCCGGCTTGTGCTCCGTGTCAGCAAGGCCCCGAACAGCATCTGCAAACCGCAAAAAGCAAATGCATAATGCAGAACTGCTTGTTCCCACTTCCTACCTCCTTCTTCATTGTTCTCCCAGGATATGTAAAATAGATGGCTTGTCCATGGTTTCGGCCTACAGTCACGTCCTCAAATATTCCTATCTCTGGCAGTATTTTCCCACACCGGGCAACTTCGGAGAGGAAGAGCGATGCCGACCACAGCGGAGCTTAAGCATGGCAGCGGAGAGAGTTGTGGTTGGTTTTCTGGTAACTGGTTTTCTGGGCCTCATTTTCCACATTCTGAGACCCAAGAACAAAAGGCCCTGGAGCTACACGTGAGGCTGAGTAAACAGAGGGGATTCTGGTGCTGCTGGAAGTCCAGGTCTGCCAAATCTTGACGGAGGCGCCAGGCACCAAAACCCCAGCCCCCACTCATTTGCTGCTCCCCCAAGAGCTTCTATCCGAAGCTCCCAGAGCTCAATTGAAAGCAGCAGGCGAAAAGTCAAATACTTCATTAAAAGCAGCAAGAGACTCCATTGTAAACCCACGGCTCTTGCCCATCAAAGATCAGACACTGGGATCCAAATCGGTTCTGGTTTCAATCTGAGATCAGATACTTAAGAGGTAGCTTGTGGTGTGTATCTTTTCAACGTGCTGCAGAAAGCCCCTCTGTTTCTCCTGTTTTTCCCTTATTTTTATACCCTATAGAGACCCTCAAGAACTGCTGCTCATAATACACACACACACACACTCATTATGCTGAGACAGGGAGAAGCAGAGAAACACTTCAAAAGGTAAGCATAGGCTTGAGTTTCAGGTTTATTGAATTCCTGGAAATACTGTCTCTCCTCCTGAGAAAGGTGAGTGTTTGGAAACAACTTTAATCTGGCCAAAGAAAAGGAAGAGAGGGAGGAAAAGACACAGGGAGAGGGAGCGTTGGCAGAGGGAAGAGATGGAGAGAAAGAGAGAGCGAATTGTTAATTTCAATTGATTTTCTGATAAGGTTTCATATCCTGAAGTGTGCTTCAAATCTGAGAAGTGACATCTGCTGAGATCGCCCGTCAGTGTCTGAATTCTCCTGAATGTAATTAGATCTGAGACAAGATAGAAGACTCAGTACGGTGGCCCTTAGGGAGGAAATGGTCTTTGAAAAGAATTATGTTAATCAGACTAGCCTTCTTCTTGCATCTGTTCTGCTGTTATTCTGGGTAAAATTAATAGGTCTAAGGAAGAATCTGATCATAATGACAATCTGGTCTTCACAGCAGGAGGTTTTATAAAGGAGTTGAACTGTGCCTTGTTGAGAACACTTAAAGTAATTAGTTACAGGGCTACTCAGTTTCTTTCCTTTTTAATAATAATAATGGTTATTAATGTTTACAAATTAAAGAGTCTTACTCCAGATGAAAGGAGTGCTGAAATGGAGACTCTCGGGAGCAGACGCTCCGCACCTTTATGCCGCGTGCCCAGGGTGATGACACTGTCACAGCCCTCCTTTTCCTGCTGGATTGTCCTCCCTCTCCCTTCTCCCCTCCTAGTCCCCTCCCTCCTTGTTCCTCGGGGCACTGCTAGGAACAAGGTGCCTAGAGCTTGCAGAAGTGGAGGAAACCAACAGAGCCGGGGTCGAGGACGGAGGCTGAGCCCATGATCTGTATGCTTAGCACCTGGCACAAAGTGGGTGCTCAGTAAATATTTGCTGATAGGATGGAAGAAAGGAAGGAAGAGGGAGGAAAGCAGGAAGAAATATACCAGAAAGAAATAATGGATACGAAGGAAGGAAGAAAAGAACAAAGGGAGGAAGGAAGACTAGAATTACAAAGGAAAGAAGAGCGCACGAATGCGGGGAGGGCTGGGGGAAGAGAGAGAGAGAAAGGGAGAGAGGGAGAGAGAGAGAAGAGAGAGAGAAGGAACACATTCTCACTATCTTTCTTACCATAAGATACAACTTCAAAGATGAGAGAGTTAATGCTATCATTTGCATTCGAGTCTCTCCTCTATTAGTCTGTAAACCAGGGGTAGGCAAACCACACCCCTGGGCTTAATCCTGCCCACCACCTGTTTTTGTAAACAAAGGTTTGCGGGCCTGTACATTTGCATATTGTCTGTAGCTGCTTTCATACCACACCTGCAGATGTGAGTAGCTGCCGCACAGATTGCATGGACCCAAAGCCTAAAAATTGACTATGTGGCCCTTACAGAAAAAGTTTGCCAACCTCTGCTGTCATCTCTTGAGAGCAGGCATCCTGCTTGATTTGATTTTAAGACCTGCTGAATGGGACTGACTTTTCCAGAAGAGACTTCCACCTGCATGATGTGCAGAGACCCTTAAGCCAAGACCAGCACCTCTTACGGGGGCAGGTGGTGCGGCAGAGGGAGGAGTGAGGGGTGAAGGAGGGTTGGTTTCTAAACTTCTGTCTTCTCCATCTGAGAGCAGGTTCTGAGAGAATGAGATGCAACATGTCTGCCCCACATCCACAGGGCTAAGAGCGGCCACAGCAGGGGCAAGGTTGGGAACTGAAGATCCACTCCTTCACCTAAACAATTGTCATCACCTAATTTAATTTCTACAACAAACAAGGTGGTATGAGGCAGGAGTGGAAATTTGGAAGGAGAAGACTTGGGTCCAAGATCTTCCATCCGCTGACCATGTCATCTCAGTCAAATCGTTTAACTTAGCTGAGCCTCACGCTTCTCATTTGTAAAATGGAGATGAAAATAATATAACTTTATAGTCTTGATGTGTTAGATGAGCAAAGTGTGTCAAAGTACTTTGAAAACCACATAGTTCTTATGCAAACAGTTATTATATAATAGTTCTAAGAGTTGCTATGTAATCATACGGTGGACCTGGATAAGCCAGTGTTTCTGGAAGGGTAGGCGTTGGTCTCCTGAGTTCTGGCCCGAACAGATCATGTGTCTTAAAGGCATTTTTGGCAAAGCTGGGTCTGCCAAGGCAATCAAACTTTGAAACTATAAAACACTCATCCCAAACCCAGTCGCATAAAACAACAAGGATTAATTTCTTGTCTACACATCTGCTGGTCAGCTGAAGCTCAGTTGATCTAGAAAAGGCTCAGCCAAGCTTGGATCCAAATTGTGGGTCAAGGAGGATGTGTCTCTCATCCTTTCTGGACCAGTGGATTCTCAATATATGTTCTTTTCACAGTGATAGGAGCACATGAGCCCAAGCCCCTGCTTGCATCACATCTATTAACACCCCATTGGCCACAGCAAGAAATAGGAAAGCATACTTTTCTCATCAGGAGGCTGAGGCAAGTCAAATGGGAAAGCCCAACATCAATGGGGTGGAGGAGCATCCTCCTCCATGGAGGTCTGTTGGAGAGAGTGAATATTTGTTGACAAATAATCTGCCTCCGAAGCCAAAGCTTAGCTAAGAGTGTCTAGTGTAGCCCCAAGCTGCTGGATCTAGTTGTTTTAAGTATGCTGCCATTTTGACATTTGTTAGTGGACCATTGCTGGAGGTGGGGCTGTGAATGCACTTGCCAGTCTGAACAGTTTACCCTTGACCTCACAGTTCCATGTTTTCATGTACAGATGCAATGAACTATCAGATAAGAAAAACTGCACAATTTCTCCAATAACCCAAATTCATTTATGAAACTTTATTGAAAAATCGGCACTATTTAAGAACAAATTTGGGTCATTCAGAAAATGTAGGTTTAATAAAGATGTAGGAGGACTGAGTAGAATGGTAACACGGAAGCAAAAGGAGCCAGGACTAAAATCAGACTCCAGCAAGAGAGCTGAGGTCACCTCAAATAAAAATGACAGCCGTGGGCAGGGGGTCCCAATTAATTAATTACACCTTAACTCTTTTTTGAAACTGTCTCTGTTCTTGCATCATCCTCACTGTTCCCCAGAGTTATAGGGAATGCTGTGGCGCCCTGAGGAAGGGAAGGGGTAAAACCAGCTTCTCTGTTTCTGTCTTTCTTGCTTTCTCTTCCTCCTGCTCCACCAGAGGTAAGGATAAGGTTACCATAGGATCAACAGCTTCATAAATATACAGAAGAAAGACAAATCAACCTGAAATCCAAAAAAATAATTAAAATATAAATAGACTTGTTTGTTTCAAGGATTTGCAATGAACGCTTGACTCAGTCTGAAGATTAATCAGTGATGGGTAATTATACCTTCACACACACACACACACACATTCACAGACACGAAAAGATAACCCTGGTC